TTTGGAGGGTTCATTGAGCATGTGAAATAACTTTCCTTTTGTTCCCTGATGATCTAGTTTTTGGAGGAAATTGTAGTAGAACAGTTTCTGTGGTGCTCAAATTCTGATCAAAATAGTTGTGTGTGGTAGGTATCCTAGCCATTTACTTTTATTTCCAAATAAATCCTTCTGACTTTTATCCATCAGTTCAACTGCTGAGACAGTTGAACTGTCCACAAATGGATAGGGTCTATTTGTAGTCTTGCTCCTCAACTTTAATTGTAAATTAGTAAAAATACAGTCTCCAAGTCATCTGAGCTGCTGGTGATTTCATGGATACATCCGAGCCTGAGCCTCAACTTTTGCATAAATTCAACAATAAAAAGAATGCTTTAGAAAGCAAGAAGAAGAAATGCCTGACAGCCATTCTTTTTACCTGAAAAAGTAGTGGTAAAAAGAAGGACACGGACTAAGAGCAGCAACAAATAGGTGGAACCATAAAATAAAAAAGAATAAATCTAGGATAAAAACTGAAACTAATTTAATAAATTAATCACAATGCATTTTTATGTACCGTATAGCAGTAATTGGCAACTGCTTTGTGGATGAATTCAACCATATGGGGGCTGTGTATTCCCTACTGAGGATGCAGAGTTAATAGTTCTTACCTGTACCTGACTTAGGACATAAGTTCATCAGTTTGTTAAGTGCAATATCACATGACCACAATTTCTTGCTGGTTTCCCATTGAGGTTGCTTGTGAGAAGCCAACTGTGAAAGTTGCAAATAGTGATTACAGAGCACAGTGACTAAATGCATGTGTGTTGTAAAGTACCCAAACTGCAGTCACTTGACATGGGGATGCTGTAGTAGCCAAAACTTTAAGGATTAGTCATAAATCTCCTTTTTTTACACTGTTGTAAGTTTGAACGGCCACTGAACAAATAGTTGATAGGTGAAGACTGCCTGTAATATTACTGATATTTGTACCATTCCTTTCCACACCCGTACACTATACACTAAATAATCAGTTGTGATTCCTTTTACAGATTCACTTTGTAAAAACACTGTTCGTGTTTTTTATTGTTGTGATGGGGTCGGAAAGTCTCATGATCCTTTATGAAGATAATTCAGTGGAAGTCCACTATCCAGATGGTTCCAGATTGCTCCTTTCTCCATGTGGATCAGAGTTATTATTTGAAAAGGCTGTTCCTCCCTCTGCTCACCCAATGCAGCCACCGGAAAGAGTTCGTCAGAGGACACCATTTGCTATTAGCCTCTATCGGGTATAAACAAAATCTTTTTTCTCTAAGCAGGAGAGAAAGGTGGTCTGCTCTGGGATAATAGGATTGTAATAGGACGTGTTTTGCTTAAACTCTAAAAGCCATTCAAAGAGCTGAGCAAAAAATTGGCAATTCTGAAATGTCAACAGGGACCAATTCTTCACTAACATACCAGCAGAATAAGGCTCCATTCAATCCTGTTATATCATCACTCCCAGTCATTATATAAGTGCTACTACTCTATATGCCAAAACACCACCACCCACAAAAAGGAGAGTAGTATTAGAAGATATTCAGTGAAGACAATGTTGAATCTCTAAAACAATCCAATTAAAGAGTTGTGTACATTTTGAATTTGTAAAATACTGACCGATACAGGGGCTGTAATGGCCAGGAGTCCCTAGAATTCAAAACAGTAGTACTCCAAAGTTTAAAATGTTTTTGTAGGTTGCATTAGTCCCAGTTTACAATTGTGTTCTTGATATTTTGGGGATCAAACTCATGATGATACTCATGATCATTATACTGTCCTATACATGTCCTAATTTTGGGCAGTCCATAAGTATCTAGCTACCCATCTGTTTTACAAGAACAAATCTGGACTAAAGAAATTTTTGGGCTGATCCAGTTAGAATCTTGTTCTGTTTCTAGAACACGTCATGGGAAGAATGGTATGAATAAATCTTCCTTTGTAGCATGCAGTTTTAGGAAGATATTTTGTTCATATGAGACAATAATAAACTATGGGAAATATGTCTAGAATATTTCTTGGTTCTCTCTCAAACATAAGAGAGTTTGGGGGAATGTGCAGAAGTCACTTGAAAGACAAGTTGGTTTAGGAAAAGTCTCTAAATATAGAAGCTTGGGAACCATCATTATTTTCTGTTCAATAGCTCTTCAGTGTCTCAGGCAGAAATTTATCCTTGCAAATTGTTCAACTTCCTCTTATGTTTGCTATCTTTAACAGCCATGGGTTTTCCCTTCTTACCTATGTTATAAAATTTAAGCTTATCTATTTTTTCTTTTTTTTATTATATCTCATTTCCCTTTTCCCAGTATAATAGAATAGTCTTTATTTTGCTCAAAGAGACTTCTAAGTCATTTCTTCAGGATGCAGCATTGAGTGGCACAGACCTGAATACCAGTGAATTTACCTTTCAGAAGACTGAATAGATGGATGTTGCTCACTTTCCATTACAAGTCAAAAACTTTTTTCTTCTGTTAAGATCAGAGAAATTATGTTAGATGGCATTTTAAAACAACTTTTTTGTCTTCCCATATAGAAATCTGTTACTTTATTTTAAATATATACTAAATGCAATGCAACCGAACATAGAACCTTCATGGTCATTCTTGTATAAATATAGCAATAATGCTAAGGAATAAGAATTAAGTTGTTTCTCCAATATATAAAATCAAATTCTCTTTACTTTTTTTAGGAACAGCTCTTGCGGGCAATAGATTTCCGAAATCAATATTCTGAGCGACCCTATTTACCTTCAGACATTATACCTCCAGAAAAGAAAAATGTAAGTTTTGAGTATATGTTTGTAAAAAGAAAACAGATTCCATATTTATTGTGGTTTTTATTATCGCCTGTTCACCGCCCTGAGTCCCGTAAGGGAGATAGGGCGGTATATAAATTCAATAAATTCAATTCAATTCAATGAAATATTTAATTGGCTAATTTTATGTGTTATCTTCTTGGCTTATTAGACAGTAACATATAATTATACTGATTCTTTTGGAAGGATAGATAAATTTAGTACACATTACCTGTGTTTGCACAATACACTTTCCTCATGCAGTTACTTTTTCATGGTTCAGAGCTGATAAATCAGGAAACCCATAATCCCAGAGGGGCCAAGAGCTTTCACCTTTTGCTCTACAGACCCGCTGCCAATTTTCTCCAATCATGCCTGATGTCAGGGGATTTGTTAGAAGTTCATTATCCAATAATGGCTTCCCAATTGGCCAGATCAGGCTTGAGTATTGCATTCAATTACTTTGGGAAATACACCGATTGACTTTGATACTAAGTTTTATAGGGTGATGCTTTCCATGTGAGCCCCCCTAATTCACCACCTCATTTTTTACTGGAGGACTAAGTGGGGCTTGACCTCTATTACAAGTTCTCAGACTTGTTAAATAATAAAATCATCTGACTCAGAGTTACCCCAGATCTAACTGAGTCACTCACTGTTCTGAACTCTTTATTGACTTGGTTATGCATGTTAGTTATTTGGTTATGCAAGTCTTCGGTGTAAATATATATAAAATGAGTAATTATTCATTCTTACTGACAAGTAATCCTAAAATCCACAATGAAGCAGTTCTATATATTCTTAACAATATTTGACAAAATATGATTTTTATTTTAAGGTATTACTTAGTCTCTGAAATGAGTACATTTTGATAATTGGAATCTGATTTACATAATTTCCTTATAAATAATTACATCAAGAAAACTAATCCATTCCTATTTTCCATATTTAAAAATCTCAGCTGTACCTCTAATAAGGAATCATTTTTATCTGTAGAGGGAAGAGGGAATGGCCTTGAGGGACAAGAAGAAGAGTTGCTATCAAGGCCATGGTCAAATAAAAAAGGCCTGAGTCCAAGGCAAGAATGTAACATGTCTCAGACAAATGCCTTCCTAGTTCACAAGAAGACAAAGGCAAGGAGGAGAGAAGCACTTTCAGACATGCAAGATTCTGTTACTATAACTCTGTAATAAAAGTTCTGTTGGCCTATGTGGCCTAATCAAATCCTAATTCCTCTATTGAAGCTCTGATATCATCTTACTGCAACTAGAAGAAATCCATTAGGTTTAAGTCCCTTATCACAAACACCATCTAAATTATATGAACATTAATTTTGTAATATTATCATCTTTTTGTTATCCATAATAATCCATGAAAATTCCTGGAAATTATCTTTGCTTGGATAAACTGTAATGTTGCAAGCTGCATCCCTTATTCCCATTATTCCCTTATTGATATTTATTTATATCTACAATCTTATGCCTCCTGAGATACCATTCCAAGTTCCATAGGATGGTGAATTTCCTTCTCTAAAATTGAACTCGGGATATTGACCTCCAAAGAGGGAAGCTGTGTACCTCTATACCAGGCATGTCAAACTCGCGACGTCGCGCGATGTATTGGGACTTTTTCCCCATTGCCGGCAATGGGGTGGGCGCAGTTTCAGTGTGACGCATCCGGCCTGCGGGCTGGCAGTTTGACATGCCTGCTGTATACCATCTTGGTAGCTGGCGGTTTCTAAGACCAGAAGATTCATCCCAGAAAAAAATAAAACAAAGTGTTGTGATGAAAGATGTGCATTATGCCAGAATAAGTGTGGTTAGATATAGTCTCCTGTCCTTTTCCATTCCTCAGTTCAGAAAAATACCTTGAGTTAATCTAAATGTATTCTTTCCTATTAGACACAAGTATATGAACAGAGAAGTACAAGCATATTTTTTTTCATCTTCTCTTTTGATCTGCAGTTGGCAGGGCTTTGGGAAAGTGTAAGCTATCAGAACTTTAAGACTCAATCTTTTCTGCAGGTCATTTTCACAGATGTCACTGAAGCCCAATGGCCTGGCCTTGATACGGCTAATGAGGAAATGTGTCTGTCAAATGGCAATGTGAAAGTCACATCTTTAGATGGACATGCTTCTCTTCTTTTACCAGAGCTTCAGCAAGAATTCACGGTGGAGTTTTTATGCAAAGTAAGCAAGGGACTATCAATCCCATTATCATTTTCAAAGAGGAACTCCTGTAAGTCAACCCAAGAATGTTACGAAAGTTCCAGCCAAAGTTCTGACTTAAAAATGTGTTCAAGGCTGCTAGGGACAAAAATGAAGGATGATGTAAGTATAGAAAATTGTGTACAAGAGAACAATTCAAGTGCTGTGCAAAAAGATAAGATATCTCAGTCTTCCCAGAAGAGTTTATTTGAATATTGTAGAGTTATACAGCATATATCAGTATCATCCTGCCCTGAAGAATGGAAGTACCCTTTGTCATTAGCATTAAGAATCAATCAATCATATAATGGAAATGAAGTTGGCTCTAATAAAGGAAAGAATGAAGTTGATAGCCTAAGCCTGGATCTTGCTAATGAATGCAGAATGGCTGACACAGTTACTTCTTTACCTTCAGCTTTACCTCTCAGTTGTCATGCTCCATTTCTACACAGGTAAATTAGTTTTATACATTAAAATGTCTGTATCCTTTATTTCTGTCTTTTTAAAAACTGCCTTTTAAATAGCTAAAATCTGTTTAAAATCACATACTAACAGCCATACTCTCTTGACTTTTCAGTAGCTTTTTTAATGTTTGGAGTTTCCAGATATAAAGAAAACCTTACTTTAACCCAGTAACAGGAAAATGCTAGGCCGTTACTCACAAATGTCCAATAAATATGTCATGGTAATTTTTGTTATTTGCATGCTTACATGCTTACTTAAGTACATTTCCAAACAAAGTATCTGGGTTTTTTTCTAAACGTGTGCAACTTAGAAACATTATTGTAACTAAAAATGATTGTAGAATCTGACACTTTGCTTTATAGCAAGCCAGATACCCCTTCTTCTTTTTTGAATTAAAAGTTTTTTTAAAAAAATGAAGTGAGGTGATGCAGGAGATCATTAAAGAATGTATAAGGTACCGTATTGTGTACATTTCATTTATTGTGGATCTGTTGCAATGATTGCTTTCTAAAAAAAAAAGTAAGGTTTACTACTACGGTAGTTATGGGTTAAACGCTTGTTTTCAGTTTTAAACATCCTCCCTAATTTGATTGCTTTCCAAATATACTGGCAGGTCAGTTCCAGAATTTGCAGGCACTCTAGACAATTGGAGTAATTGTATCCAAATATCTGGAAAGGACCAAATGAAAGAAGTTGCTTTAAGGATTCTAATCATTCATTGATTTTTGAGTTCTTAATATTAAGTATTCCCCTTTAAGACAGAAACCGTTATTATATAACAAATACTTTGATGTAATTTGCAACTGTTTCTTACATTACATTCAGCTTTGAATTGTAAAATCTAAATAGCATAGAATAGAATATTCTTTATTGGCCAAGAAATTTGTCTCTGGTGCATAAGCCCTCAGTATAGTACAAGCAACAAAGTCGTAAATCATAAACCATAAAACAAACATAAATCATAAGATACACCCATCATAAGATACCAATAGGAATATGTAATAGGAAAGATGCGAAGGATAGTAGTAATACAGTCCTGCCATGTGGTTAGATATCCTTAGACATAGACTGGGGGTAGGCAACCTTGGCTCTTTTATGACTCGTGGACTTCAACTCCCAGAATTCCTGAGCCAGCCATGCATAGCATAGCTGGCTCAGGAATTCTGGGAGTTGAAGTCCACGAGTCATAAAAGAGCCAAGGTTGCCTACCCCTGACATAGACAGTGCTGTGGGAATTATGTATTTAGCAGAGTAATGGCATGGGGGGAAAACTTGTCTTTGTGTCTAGTTGTTTTGGCGTGCAATGCCCTGTAGCGGTGTCCTGAGGGGAGGAGTTGAAACAGTTTATGTCCAGGATGCAAGGGGTCTGTAGATATTTTCTCAGTCCACTTTCTGGCTCGCACAGTATACAGGTCCTCTATGGCAGGCTGGTTTATTATTATACTTATTAATATCAAAAATCCAAATCATAATATTCCCATATTTTCATTTTTTTCTATCTTAATAGTCTAAGTCATCTAAACATTAGACTTTCATAATCTCTCATCAACACTATAAATACCCCTGCATTTATGTATGTCTAATAACAATATAATAAAACATTTTTTAAAAATGATCCACAGGTGGACCTTCACTGATTTTTTTGAACAAAAACAGGAGGAGGATGGATATCACTCATACTCACAGCCTATCAAAGTACTTTGGAGCAAGGGTATTATTTACAGGTATGTGTATGTGTGTTTATGAAAGGAGATTTAAAGGCTAATACACCTGTATTCTTACTTAACGGTAAGAACACTGAATAATTTGCAAAATAATAGATTTTTAATGATAATAGGTGTTCTAGGATAACGAACAGGTAGTTCTCACTTAGCAACCACTCATTGACCAACTGTTTGAAGTTATGATGGCACTGAATGAGTGCTACTTATGATGAATCCTCCAAGTTCTAACATCGTAGTTCCCCCATGATCATATGCTCATGATTCAGTCACTAAGCAACCAGTTTACGCTTAATGATGGTTGTAACATCCCATGGTCACATGGTCAACATTTGCAACCTGCCCTGCTGGTTTCACATAAGCAAAGTTAATGGGTAAGCCAACAGAGAAAGTCACAAGTTGTTCTGGTAATACCTCCCCTACACACACACACGCACACCTCAGGCCTTCCTGCACATGTCCTCCTTCCCTCCTCTTCCCTGTGCTCAAACAAACCTGCTTCCTCCTTCCTTCAGCTGCCACACCACAGCACCCCCTACTCCTCTTACACATAGTCTGCACCAGGTCTTCCCTAGCAGCATCCCTGCTGTTTATTTGGGATCTTCTCCACTTCCCGCTTAATGAACCACACAGCTTGGGTTTATGATGGCAACAGGGACTATTGGATTGCTGTCATTAAGCAATGCAGCCATGTTTGTAATACTTTGGTTTATTAATTGTTCGGGAGAATGGGAAAATTTGTATAATCTTTTAGTATTTATTTAATTTCAGCATTTAATTATAGATTGTAATACTTTCATGGATAAATAGACAGTGAGTGTTTTTAAAATCCCACGGGGTACTGTTAGGCTTCTTCCAGAATCAGAGCTGGATTTATCTACAATTAATTTAGATAGCCTATTGGGATAATAAAAACAGTGGAGCTAATATCCCATACTTTCTATTAGGTTTTCTCTTGGACTTAGAAGCATAGAAATTTATCCTGGTGATGGATCAGTCTTTAAATCAGAAGGTTTCTTTTTGGGAAAATACTTCACTCGTTATTGTATTAATCAACAAACGAAACAGGTACATAACAGTAAATAAGTCTTTTCTTGAATATTTTATGATAACTGTTTTTCAGGAATATTGTAAAACTAGCACATTTAAAATGAGGATCGTGATAGATTAAGAACCATGAGTACATGCTAACAAAATAGTGAGAGAAAGGAGGGAGGGAGAGGTACTGTGTGTGTATGTGGGCACACAGTACAGTTTTCTTGCCCCTTTGCAGATGACAAAGAATGCACAGACTGTTGGTGCATCTAGTGATTTTTTTTACTTATTTATTCATATACTGTATATCCAACTCTTTGTATCTAAGGTTCTTACAATTATATCCATCAGATGTGATATTTTTGATGTCTAGACCTGCAACCGTGGTTTAGATGCTTGGTTTTCCTTTCATGAAACAGAAGATAACAAAGAGCAAGTTCTCCTGACTGCTTCTAACATAATTAACTCTACCTTAAGAAAATTCTTTTTTCAGAATCAGCGGCCAAACACCTTTTCCAAAAAAAGCAAACTGGTAGCATGGTTTCTTCTTATATTATCCATCTTCCTAGAATATTCCCTATCATCAGTGCTTACCGCTTTTTTCTTTTCGGAGCAGATAATCCTACTTCCACATTAATTTCTGGATTTACTGTAAAAACTGAGGGGCTTTATGTTCATCTTGAAATCCCTACACCTATCAACAGTCTTAGGCAGTCTTGCACTTTTAGTTTTTTTGACAGAGCTGCCATCAGAAAGCATCACACCTACAATTATCCGTGGCATATGTCACAAAAAACAAGAGATTAGAGCAATGTAACACCAAAGGAACAAATTGCTTTAAACTGTATAATGAACAACTGTTGACTTGGAGTCCAGTAGTTTAATGATCTGTTGTACTTGCTTTGTTGTTTAGCGCTTTTGTACATACTTATTTTTCTTTTACATTCATCTTTTAGAGAGAAGAAACCATGTACTCTGTAAGCGGCCTACCACCTGATGTCCCCGGGAGTCTCTACTCTGTATGGACAATTATAACACAGTCAGTAAGGTGAGGTACTTTGCTTACTTTTCAGTATTTGTTCATTTATTTAGATTATGCCACTTGAGCTCAGTTTTCTAGGTAATTTGGAATAATATTTAGACACTTTTTTCAGTAACATTGACGAAAGGACACCAGTTAATGAAAACTGTTCAAACTACGAAAATCCATGAATCTGGATTAATTCTGGGGATGCTGTGACAATTATCAGTACAAGGACTGATCATAAATCACTTTTTTCAGTGTTGGTCATTAAACGAATGGTTGTAAGCCGAGGACTACCTATGTATGGATGTCATATAAAACAAATCTATTTTGATTCTGAAGAATAGCTGGGAATTTTAAAAGTTTGCAAGCTTTACTACAAATCATCAGACAGTTGTACAATAGATTTGTCTCTCTACTGCTCATTCTAGCATAAGGTGCTGGCTATAAATTGGTCGTTATAATTTTTTCCCAAATGTTTTTATCTTATCTTTTCTGTTTTTCTCCTTGACTGTATTGTTAAATATCTGTATTGTTAAATATCTATTTAACAATACAGTCAAGGAGAAAAACAGAAAAAACAAAAAGCAAAGAATAAATAAGGCAGAGAATTAAAAGCATTGTAACAATAAATATTTTTTTCAAAGTAATCATTACTCACTAATCATTAATTAGTGAGCTAACATGTAAAATATCCTATATTAATTTAGAACTTCAAAACATTAAGATCAAGTTAATATGCAATAATTAACAGCAATGAACAGTAATACCTTTAAATGTTTTAAAGGCTTGCAACTTAAAGTGAAATTTGAGTCTCTCTTTTATTTTTCTAATTAGAGTTCTTCAACATGATCTTGAAAACATGCTTTCCTTAACACATAATTATAATGTTTGCTGCTGGAAGTTGGTAGGTATGAATATGACAATCAATTATTAGCATAAGATAA